TCAAACTATTCAAGCCTAATGTGTGCTCATTGTGTGGCGTGTCGCAATCCTTCAAAACTGAACTGGTAAACCCTTTTCAGGAGACCTTCCGATTCCACGTCACCGGCCCAGAACATCACAGTGCCTCCTTTGGCGCCAAACGGTTCGTTTCGCTCTAGCGGAGACAGCCAGGACCGTCGCTGCGCGTATGTGTCCTTCAACCAGAAGCTCGTCAAGCAGTATTCCTCCTTTTTCCTCGAAAGTTGGGAGTATAGGATCTGCAGGAGGAAACTTGCAAAGAATCCTCACTGGACCTTCCTGTCAGGGTGTCGTAAGTGGAGATCCGGTCAGTGTCGTGGCGTCATGGGGAAAAGCTGCTGGGCGTCACAGAGCGCTTCTGAAAGACGAGAAACGCGGGCCCCGCCGCACGCAGGTTTTAGTATCCCTGGCCTTCGAAGACAATTCAATAGGATTGTTGAGTTTTGCCGTCCAAAGACCATAACGCCCGTTAGCAGGACCATTGATTTAATTAATAGCTTTCACCGAACAACCAAGCTGTTTTACTAAGCATCTTAAACGACAAAACCAGGTCAACCATTTTCCGAATGATCAAACGGAAGACCCGGGACCTCCCTTCAGAGAAGTGAGAGAAGTGGCTTGGCCGTGTCCAATCCCGTTCAGCTAGCGGTTGATGGCGCAAGATGGCGCAAGCACAAAGGAAATAAGAAATGAGAATAGGTGCTCACTCACTGACACTCTCTCTCTCTCTCACTCTCACTCACTTTCTCTCTCTCTCTCTCTCACGCTCTCCCTTTTTTCCCGTTTATCGCTTCTTTTTGCCTTCAAGGAGCACATAGCACCAATGACCTGTCCCTACTTCGTCAACTTTGCGTGCAACTACCTTGCAGCTAAGGAATGATGGCCCTTCGTCAGCAGCTCCGGGCAGAAGGGGAAGCGACAAAAGAGTGACCGGGAGCAGCGGGAGCAGTACAGTAGGGATGCCCGACTTACCTTGAAGTCAGCAGCCACTCCTCTCAAAGACCTGGGGTGCTGACGGTCAACATGGTCAACCAATCTGTGCCGGTTGTTCACCCTGTCAGCTGGCCCACAGCATGGGCTTCCTGGTTTGAGGATGTTTGAGGTTCTTTCTTTCTGTGCAGGTCCAATGCCCGTGGAATTTGTTCGCAAATGCCCAAAACGGACATCTCGTTTCTTTGGACACTTCCGTTTGTATGCGACTCCCAAAACGTACTTTTTGTCGTAATTATTCCACATTTGCGCAGAGGCCTTTTGCTACCCGGCCTGCGTTTCGACCATGTAGATGATTTTGCTGGCCTAGAAGTGAACCCGTTGGCTGGCACAGGTCCGATCGCTAGAAGGCTAATTGTTCCTAGTAGCGTTCTTGCTCCTAGTAGCGTGCTCCTAGTAGCGATGCCAGGAGCCCCTAGTAGCTTCTTGTTCCGGGGTCGTAAAACTGCAAGCTCTACGCAAACAGCCTTCTCGTCCAGCTTGGCATTCACGTGAGCTTTCTCGCTCGACGTCTCGCTGAGGTTGGTGCTCCAAGTATGCCATTTGCGGCACCCCAACCACGATGCCCAACGAATTCCCGCAGGACGACCACGGTCTGCGCTGTTCTCCGCTCCCGAGGAAACTGCACCCTCCGGCAGGTGGGGAAGAGAAACTGCACGTTGGCTGCCAAACTTGTATTCAACACTTGCTATAGCACTTTTTCAATCTTTTTCACAATAGGTCCTGGTGGCGGAGCAAACCCCCACATGCCAGAGATTAAGAATTCTTGCTTGGAGATTTCTCTTGGACCCGGGCAGTCGCTGACTCACTGCAGCGCCTGCTCCGCTCTGCTGCGAAGTCTCTGCCAGTTGCAGGACCCCCGCGGTTGGTTGACCTTCGCAAGGGACCAGGCGGAGGCGGAGCAACGACTGTTGGGGGGGCGTGGAGCCAGTTCGAGACCCGGAGCGTCTGGGTTGTTCAGTGGATCGCCCGAAAACCCGGTCGGGGGATTTGGGGGACACTTTCGATGGCTGGGCAGCTTCAAACAGGTGGAACGTTGGGTGAACCGATGTGAACCTCTACATTTTGTCCAGGGCACCTGAGGGAATCCGATTCTCATCCATCCACAAGCGCGAGGTGAACAAAGCGAGAAGATGATGTGTCTTTTGCAGCCCGGATCATTTGGGCATGTAGATGTGGCACAGAATGGCTTCCCACCACGTGAGTCCGAGAGCAGGGGGTGCGTTCCAGTGTGAAGAGATGGTCTTGGGCAGTCCAACCTGAATTGACCCAGCCAGTTTTATGAGCAAATCAAGGTAACCTATTTCGTACAGTTTCTTTGTAAATAACATGTTTAACAAGATCCCGTTGAACACAGATTTGCACAGCTGAGAGGTATCCAGCGACCCTTTCGTTTGTAATTCAGAGAACCAGCTCGAACTGGTTGAAAAAGAAAATTGCACATGCCTTGCATGCCTAAGGGCTATGCTTGCACAATACAAAGCACATTGGTGGAATCGCGCGAGCTGAAAGATAACACGCTCTGCCGACTTCCCCCTTTTGGCAAGGAGGGCCTCTTCCTCGAACAAGAGCAGTTCCGAAAACTGTGCAGGGCTTCTTATTAAACTGTCCTCGGCAGCCATCTTGTCGCGGGCGCTCTTGCGACGAGCGCCACGGTAGCGCCCGGTGTTGCGCTCGCAGCGCCTCCTTTCGTGCATGTCACAGAGTCTCCTGCAAACATGTTGCTGCAATAAACCCACTTTCACTGCTTTTGAACATGGAATCTCCTCTCGCGACATGCCTGCAAAGCAATATGCGTACAGAACTGCTTCTTTCAGAAAAGGGCCGGGTCACCCTTTTTGGTGCCGGACTGGTCTTGGGACCGTTAGCGTAATTGTCTGGGCGTTCTTGAATTCGCGCTTCCGGTGATCTTTGCACTAAACGTGGCATGTAAATATACATGTTGGAAAATCAGAGTTCCTGACTCCGAAGCGCGCGCGAAAACAAAAAGCAATACCAAGAAAAAATCAATTAAGAAAAGCGTGATCATTGCATTCATGGCTGCGTGCGAACACACCCAAAAATGTCGAGAAAAGGTAGCAGCGTGGCCAACGAGGCAAGAAAAGTTCAAAGAGAAAACCATTGCTAGAGGAAGACAAGAGGAAGACAAAAGACGAGAAGAGGATAACAAGGTGACAAGAAAAGACAACGGCGACAAAGATAGGACAAGAGCGACGACAAACGGACAAGGTCTAGAGCCCGAACAGCTGCGGCTATGATGCATGCCAGAAGAAGGAAAGGAAGATGTCAACATGTGGATAAAGAGAGGAAAACAAACCACCCACAGATACAGCGTTAACCTGGGAGACATTGAGAGTTCGATGGGCGTCAGGGATGGCGCAAAGGGTCCCAACAGATTCAACAGATATGAGACATGGAGAGGTCCTGCCTAGGCATGTTGATGAGGAAAACTGACTCACATAAAATCCATCAAGCTGAATGGTATTGAGAACCATGATAGCTCGCAGCAAGCGCCTCAATGGCAGGTTCTCCCCCCCAGCTGAGGTTTGAACTGACCTGTGCTGCGACCCATTGATTCTCAAAGGGGGCCGCAGTTGTCCCCTCCAGAGGACCACATGAAACCCGAAACCCACTGGGTTGGTATTCGGAAAATGGTTTGGTGTGTCGAACCGTTTGCCCTGCATGGCCTTTTGCCGCGTGAAAAGCGTAGACTCTGGATGACTCAAAGATATTCCAAAACCACCCATCGACCCTCGAAGTCGAAAGACTACTGTTGCAACCACCTGTTCAAAGATGGTCTTGGCCATCCCGGCCTTATGGCTTGAGATGTTTGTTCCAAGCCTCTTTCAATTTTTTTGTGGAGTTGATATTTGAAATAGATCATTAAAATCAAGAGTGTCTACATGACCTGCCAGGATGTGCCGCAGTTCTACGGAGATTGTTCTCAACATGACTTCCAGGCACGGTCATCCCGTCGGTCCCGAGTGGACGATGTCGGTCCCGGCGTGGGGAGATGTGACGTTCCAGGAAGACAATCGAACCAAAGAAGCCTCCTTATACTTCGGGAAAAAGTGGGATGAACTTATTTGGAGTGCGAAAGGGCTCGGGGCTTGTTTCTTCATTTAGGGTTTCTTAGAGATATAGTCTGTAGTGTTGGACACTATTTGTCCAGAGTGTCGATTGTGCTGCCCTCATGAGGCATGGCTTGAGTGGTCGAGCAGATGGAAAAAGGTTAGCCATGGTTAACCTGTTTTTAAGGGGAAACTGATGGAGTCAGGAGTCGGGGCATCCTGAATCAGTTTTTTTCTAGCCCACACGGGTGCAGAACACCCATTTTTGGGGCTGGATTATTGCCTGGCTGCCTGGAAGTCGGCCAAGCACTTGAAAAGTCCATGAACGGTTGACCGAGGCGCCGGGTTCTTCCGACAAAATCCTTTGGTTTTTTCTTCTGCGCCGACCAGGGTGTGAGGATGATGGAAAGCATATGTTTCAACTGGCAAACCCTTGCATGTTGTATGACACAGGAGTTGATGCTTTCCAAACTCCTCTCACCTCTCACAGTGGATTGATTTAACACCAGCCGTAAATTCAGCAGTGGGCCAGGACACCTCCAAAAAAAACATGAGGAGTTGGCCTCCTTGAAGCTGGAAAGACGTAGCGGAATCAACTGGACTGCTGCTGAACTCACCAGAATTGGTAAAACCAAGAGGATTGCACAGACACTCGGAGTTCTTTTTCCCCTGCCTCTGCGGCACTTGTGCTTTCCACACCATCCACTGGCAGGGTCGTGTCAAACACGTTTAAACATTAAACCGTTTAAACTGCAAACTGTTTAAGCAACTTTACAGCTGCTTTGGGGTTTGCTTTGTTTAAACATGGTTTAAACCGGCTTCGATGATGATGGTGATGAAAATGATGATGATTGCTAATTGATTTGATTCATTTTTTGTTGGCTGCGTGGCCATTTGGGTAGATCAAGTTGGCGCCAAAGCGTGTATCCCTCGCAGAGAGGGCTGCAGCAAAAGCTGCTTCTCGCCAAGGCCTCACAGAAGGCACATGCCCATGATGTGGAGAAATTTGATCCACCAGGTCGCAGTTGGTTGCGGCAGCACTTCCATCTGAGACAGGAGTTTTAGAAGGATAGCGCTAGGACCTGGTACTGGAACCTTTGCTGCAGTGGACGGCAGAACACTGTGGACCAGGTTTAAACGGGCATTGTTTAAACAAATGGCGTTTAAACATGTTTAAACAGCTGTGGTTTAAACAAGATAGATTCAGGGTTCCACCAGTTTCAGCAAAGGAGTACCTCGAGTATGAAGGTCACCTCACCGCTGGGTGCCGCCAAGTGCTCTCTGCAGCTGCAATGTGTGATCCCCACTTCAAGACCTTGACTTGGGATCCTTCTTGCGCTACCCTGGACAGCAAAAAGAAGCGGAATATGGAATTCCTCACTGAATGCTACACCTTGTACCGCCAAGTCTTTGACCAGCCTGATAGAAAGGTCTTTCCAGAGATACCTGTGCCAACCAAGAGACAGAAGAAAGACATCGCTGACAGCAAGAACCTTTTCAACCGCTTCCAAGTTCAGACTTCTTCAGGCTTTGCCTCTGACTCTAACCTGATTGCTGTGCCCACCGTAAGCGATGTGGGGGTGGAAAAGGCATGGGCAAGCTTCAAAGTCGAATTGAAGACGAAAGTCTATTCCTATTGGTTTGTGTGGAGCCCACCTATCATGATGCGCTCCGTTGGTGGCAGGAGACGGGCCGAGTCCAGTTTCCCTTGGTGCTTCCATGTGCCAGATACTTTTTGAGTGTCTTCGCAGCACAAGCTTCAGCGGAACGCATCTTCAGTGCGTCCAGAGACACAAACTTGCAGCCGGCAATCTGGAAGGTGACATGCTGGGCAGACTGGTGGCAGCGCATGTGAATCTGCCAAGTGTGCATGACTATCGAGCAAAGCGAGCTGCTCTCCATCCTCGCACCCCAAAGTCCGAGCCAAGCACAACGCCAACCAAGAAGAAGCTCGATAGCGTCGAAGACGCCATTGAGATCAACAAGTGATCTTCTAAAGGAAGCGTCCATAAAGGGTGGCAGGCATGCTGAGCAGTTGTGCAAGACTATGAACTAGGGATCAAATACAGCAGACTACTCACTGTAGACATATAGGCAGAGACTCTAGTCCATAGACCTTGTACCTCCCCATACCCATTGTGTAAACATACATGCACTCTGTGGTTTAAACATGCACTTGTTTAAACATATGCGTGTAAGCCGGGCCTTAGTTTAAACAGTTTAAGCCAGAAGGCTGCCCAACCCTTGTCCACTGGTGCCTTTCTCCCACCAAACATGGCCGGGCCGCCGCCCCACGGCGGGCACGGAACGCAAAAGGCCCTCTCCGCCAGCGAGAAGGTCTTGCAGCAAACAGCAGAGCGGCTCAAGGAACTTGACAAGAACCTGGTTGTCCGCATACGAACGCTGAGTTCGGAGGGAGCAGGCGGACCCGGCAGAACCAGGCCGCCAGTTTTTGCAGAATGCAAAGAGGAACAGGGCCCAGGTTAAGCTTCTGCAGATGCATGCACGCACCCAAAAAGCAGGCTGGAGAGAAGCTCCCGCCATTTCCTTTGGCCAAGTGGCGGCCAAGATTTGAAGAGCGGATTTTGGAGTCTCATGGTTTTTGTTGCGTTCCATGTAGCAGCCAGGGGCATCAGAAGGTAGAACTTCTAAAGGCGAGCGGCTTTCCAGCGTGAAAGCTGCTGAGGATGGCGCGAAGACGCCGTTGTTCCAAGCGATTGTTTCATTGCGACCGCACAGGGGGCCACGCTAAATCTCCGGACCCAGTTGACCCCAACAAGCTACCACTACTACTGCTACTGCTGCTGCTCTTGCTGCTACTACGGGTCAACTGAGCTCAACCGAGTCAACTGGGCCCACCACCACTACTATCACCGCCGCCACCACCACGATGACGACGATGATGACGACGACTACGACTACCACTACGACTACGACTACTACTACTACTACTACTGCTACTGCTACTGCTACTACTACTACTACTACTATTACCACCACCACCACCACCACGACTACTACTACTACTGCTACTACTACTACTTCTACTTCTACTTCCTATTTCATTTTTCTAGTATTCCTTTTCAAGACAAGGCACACCCACGGGAAGTAAAAGGTTAAACGCAAGAGACAAGAATTCTTGGGGTCTGGCGACGATTACTACTGGGCATGTTCGACCAAGCATGGATCCCTACTAGTGCTAGGCATTAAGAAGGGCAATCTGAAGAGTAAAAACCTAACTCAACACCAGGACCTAACTCAACACCAGGGGTCCCGTGTTGACCTTGGTTGGGGCCCTTTCCTCAAACAAGTCGAGAACTGATTGGACCTCAAGAGGGGACCTGTGCGCAAAAAACATTCACACGTGACACAAATGATCCAAAATCATCCAAGGATGTAGTTCGATGTTAAGATGTTTTGGTTATGACCTACACACACGTCAATAGAACTTTTTTGTGCATATCCAGGCCGATATGAAGGCGTTCTCAGACGTACGATGTTGCCGGCACACGGGTCACCTGTTTAGATCTGGGGAGCTCTCAACCTGCCAGAGGTCCAGTTGACCCAGTTGAGGCACTGGCTTCACCCGAACCACTGGTCCCAGTTGATCCAGTTGATGCAGTTGCCATCACACAAAGTCAACTGGATCAACCGGGTCAACTGGGACCACAGATTTTACCGGCCCCCTGTGCCGACGCACTCGATTGTTTTGCCTCCCATAGATGTCCAACGGCATCAGATGTTCAAGCATTAGGCAAGATGCCGAGTTCCAGAAACTGGGCCCAAATGGACATCGTTTTCAATCAGATGCTTTTGGATTGGCACTTCAAGCGCGGTTTCCTTACAACACCTGTTACGGAATCACACCGGCGTGCGGGGTCGCACCGCGCGTGGCAAAGCGTGGCGGGACAGCACGGCATGTTCTTTGGAGGCCTTTAAGAACCGCTCCATCGACTGGTATGAGAAACGCATGGCCACCCTCAACCTCTTTCATGACCCGAGCTGCGCCGGGGCACCGGGGGCGGGAGAGCCAAGCCGGCGGGTGAAGGAGTCCTCTCCGTGGCCGGTGTGATTTTCGTGTTTTCTCATCATGAGACGATCTACGTTGCAGTTTGCCCTATTTCATCCTGAGATGTGTCAAGTTCCCCTTTTAAGCAGGCATTCAAATGTAAGATGATCCAAATTCCAAGTAATGAAGATGATGGACCCTCTCATACTTTGATGAGAGTTAGACAGTGGTCGACAATTGACCAACGATCACGCGCACGGAAGACCTGAAAGAATATATATATATAGTTTTTTCCCTTAGGCCCTCCACACGAACCCAGGTTACTCTATGTGGTCACTTGCCGGCTAAGCCCCAAGTCACATCAGTGTAAGTGAGCGTCATCCAGTTCCGTTAAGTTGGTCACCTCCTCTTCACTATGGGTATACACAATCTTATTCTGGGGTTTGCAAGCCCTTGACGTTGACCACTAACCGAACCTAGACAGTTGGTATATAAATAAGCCCCCCATGTGGTAGATGTGGCATCATTCCGCAGATGGATTTATCAACCGAATCCACCGTTTGCATTACTCTGGTGGATCAGCCTTGCAGGACATGACACTGCTGGTGAACAACTTCCACACCATCTACAAGAACTGCCCGCCGGCGGCGCTGCTGGCGGCGCCGCAGCTGCAACGAGTTCTTGGAGAAGTTGTTGGGGACCTCCATTGGAAGTGGGATGGTCCAATAGATATTCAAAGTGGAACCGCTTCAGTATTCATTGACCTGGTTTTGCTTCAGGTGATGTTGTTTTGTTTTCCCGATGGGTTGTTCCTTAAAGCAAAACCAAGTTGAGATGCCACGATGTATGTGAAAACTGGTCGCACGTCAATGTCGACCTTTGGGATGAGGTTGCCTCCAGCCCATTCCTGTATTGTTGACACACACTCGTTTTGGGACGTATAGTGGATTGAGAGTAGATGGCACAGACCCCAAGAGGTGGTTTATATGGACCCCCATCTAAAGGACATCTTGGGGTCTGTGCCATCTACTCTCAATCCACTATACCTTTCTGCCCCGAGAATGCGGAGATGGGATCTTCTAGAACAGGCGCTCCATAACTCCCCCATCCTGCCACCCGTTGAGCCACATGCGCCCTTCAGCACGTGCCCAGTCGCTTCGTTTTAAGACCAGGGCAATCCACGCCTCTCGAGGTCTTGTTGAAGCTCGAGTCGATGTACTTCGAAGATGAAGAGAAGTGGAACACGCTGCTGGAGCCTCTTGGCCACCACGTCCCTAGTATCCATTGCGAACCTGGATGCCCATTTTAGCAAATACATCCCCAAAGGGTTCAATCACTGGGAGAAGCCGCCTTGCGGCGTGTGTGACGAATGCAAGCTCGTGCGCGACGAAACAGGCAAGGCCGAAATACTGCCACAAATACCGAACGACGTGCTTTTGAAAAGACTGAGTTAGGCTCATGAAATTGCAACCTCGGGCTGTTGCTTGTGTGTGCCATGGCTGATGAAAGCACAGAAACTGAGCAAATGCTGTTTGGGGTCAGTGCTGGTGTAGTCTTCTCATGTAGCCTTTGTTTTGTCGCATTCTTTACCACGATTCAAAGCACAGCCGTCCACAAGATTCACTTCCCCCCTCTTCTTGTGACTGCTTGCCTTCTGCATTCCCTGCACGTCGATATATGCGACTTCACCGCACAAAACTTTGCATTCGGCAGATCCCAGGGAAAAAACTCCTTGCGCCTTGCACAATTCCATGTGTCGGTTCCTGCCCCACGGGAACGATAAACACCTTCCACGGAACACCAAACACCTCGGGGATAAAACATTTTCCTGGAAACATTCCAACTATCAGGAAACAAAAATCACCCGGGAATCCCGGGAACGGAAAACCTGGGAACAGAAAACACCCGCAGGGAACCACAAACATGCAGCTATTGCTGTGCCCCAGTCAGCCCACTTCTCCAAACGTGCTCTTTTGGTGTTTCAATCGGTTTGAGGATCCAACCATCGCCTCCGTCTGAAGCTTCCCTCCAATCGCACTTCGAAGAAGATCACCATATGTTGCTGCCAATGGAGCTGCAACTAGGTATTCGAGTAGGGAAACCTCTAAACCCTCCACTCTGACTCACGAACATAGTGACCATAGCTCCTTGAAAGATGGCTTTCCTCCAAACACATGCATTGTTCAATCATTGTTCCACTTCCATGGCTACTGCCTTGTGTAAGACCACCAAAGGAGAGCGCTCCAAGCTTCGCTTCGCTTCGCTGCTTCGGGACCGATCCGACTCGGATGCGACTCGATCCGAGGATCTACGTGAACGCGCAGCACCAGGCCTCCGCCCAAGGACGCGCCGACGGACGGTTTCGGCGACGGGTGCGGGGGGAAGGAAGCGACGCGGCGAAGGGGCTGGAGGAAGACTTCATCGGCTGGAGCCCGAACAAGTCTAGGATTGGGGGTGGCGTCTCTATATATCTAGGATTCCTGGCCCACCATTAGTACAGGCTGAATCCCGAACCATTGAGCTGCTGTTTTACTACGGATTTGGGACTGCCAAAAAGCAGGTCAACCATTGTTCAAGTGGTCGAACCGAAGGCTCAGGACATCTCTCATCAGAAGGACATCCATGCGGTCGACGTGTGCTGCGGTGGATTTGTTTGTTGGGGGGAGGTGCTTTCCCACCCCTTAATAAGTTTGGATGTCTTGGAAGGAAGCATGCTGATTCATGACACAGTCACTTCATGCAGATTGATTCTGGTGGGATGGTGGGGCAACGAATCTCGAAAGAGATTTCCCAGCATGAGCGCATCTGCAAACGTACCTAAACATTGATGTCAGTAGAGGTGCCCCACTGTCACGCGGCATCTACGCCGTCGGATTTGGAGCCCAGAGAAGGATGGGAAACGAAAAGGATCCGAA